GTACGAGTCTATGGGTCTTTGTATGAGTGTGTGGGTCTGTGTGTGAGTCTACGGGTCTCTGAGTCTATGGGTGTCTGTGTCAGTATATTTATGCCTTTCTGTGCGAGTCTATGGGTCTCGAATCTCAATAGCGCTTCTAATTGCCCCCCGCCTTCTTTAAGTGTTCTCAACACGTACCCAAACCATCTTAAATCTCTCCTCCACTACCTCCTCTTCCTCCGCCTTTCCCGGAGACGCGTTTCCAATCGGCGTTCTCATCGCCGCGCTCGGATCGCGCTGCGTCCGGACCTCTCCTCCGTTGCCCGCGTGGCCGCCGCTCCCCCCGTCCAGGGCGGTGAACGCTGCCCCCCGATGGTGCGGTGCTCGTGTCGCGCAGAATCTTTGTCGCATCAATCCGCGCCGTCTCCATCCGCGGGGGGGGGGGGGGGCTCAGCACTCACCCACCCGCCAGTGTGCGCAGCAACATCTTTGTATGACGCGCAGCCCATTGCACATCCGCTGCTGGATGGAGGTCTCCCCACGCCGCGTGGCTCGTGGGGGCTACTTTACGCGTGCTCCATCTCACGCCAGTCAGTGCGGGCTGTGTGGGGGGAGAAACTCAGGCCCGGTTCAGATGTCATCGTCGGTCTGAGCCGTGGCATCCAGGTTCAAAGCGCAGTGCGCTAATCGTTGCGCGACCGCTCCAGCCCCAACAATGGGCTGTGATGGCCATTGACGACCGTGGGTAGACGCAATCACTGCCTGGTCCTCAGGAGAGGAGGTCGCGGTGCCATAATTTAATAATATCCTTCCCCCGCACCTCCGATTAGCACGGTTGGCTACGTACGGTGCGAAAGAAGTTCAACGTGCACACATCTCGCCTCGGAGTGGCACGCACTGGCGTTAGTTACTCCGCGTCTGGTTCGCCATCTCTGCCCTTGCAGCTGCGCGCGGGGTCAGTTGTGCGCTGGGGCGTCTCCATCTCAAAGGAGCCTCGATGCCACGGCACCCGGAGCGCGCCCTGTCCACGCCGCTCCCCGCGCCGGCTGCGTGGAGCGTGGAGCGGTGGCGCCGTGGTGAGCGCGCACTGCGCTCTTGCGCTCCCAGCCACCCGCGTTATTAGAAGAACATTTGGTGCCGCGCGAATCGCCAGTGGTGGTCGCTGTTGACCCGAGCGGAGCCGACTCCGGGCGCACGCCGCTGCGGTGCTGGCGGCCACGGGGTCCGCGCGGCGGAGTCGCGGCGAGAACGCCGTCCGCTCCGATCGCGCAAGACAAAGATGTCGTTAGCACGAGCTCGACCACGCTGATGAGAGACGGAACGTCGAATCCGCTCTCGAGTTTGTCGTGTTAAATCAGTGCCGCTGATCACTCCGAGAAAGAAGGCTGTGTGGCTGATTGGATGCGTCGAAGGTTTTCTTCTTTTGTTCACGTGGAGAGACAGGCGTGTGAATGAGGCGTCTTGTCCGCTTGGATATTTTGCTCGGATCGACGCACGCGAGTGTGGCGCGGTGGCGCAGACGAACCCGACGACTTGGTCTCAATTCCCGGCCACGGCTAACATCAGTAGCGAATGCTACCTTCAGTGGGTGGTGACCTGCCCGCGGTGAGTTACCCATCAGCGCTGGGTGTGGTGCTGGCCACAAAGCCTCTTCGTGCGCCGTGTCGGACTTAATAGGTGCTCGCTAACCGCAGATCAATGACATTCAATCTGGTATGCAAGTGGGCTTTGGCAGGACGTGTCGCTAGATAAAGAAGTGATGGCCGATTATCAGAACTGTGGTTGGAGCGGCAGCCAAAGAATGGAACGCGGCAGAGAAGACGTCCACCCAGAAGATGGAGGCGCGTGTTTAGAGGTGCCAGGTGGATTGTTATACAGCGCAGTGACCGTGAGCGATGACGATGATGGCGTAGAACGCAAATGTACTCATGAAAATATGAGCTCTTGTAAATAAAATTAACCTATGCAAAACCACGTGGTCTGTCATGCCTCCTGGGCTGGTAAAAAACTAAATAATCACTGAATCGCAGAACCCGAGTTCAAATCCTGGCAGCCGTCCGTGATGAAACCAGCTTCTCAAGTGTTGTGAGCTGATGACAATGAACAGCACTTCCCCAAGCAGTCTGTAAGGCTACACGGGGGATCTGTGTCTTTGTGTGCATGCAGACTGTGCAGCGACGGCAACAGAACCACCACCTCCTCCTCCACGATGTCTGTGGCGTCGATCTCCGCTCTCGCCCTGATCCTGCTCGCCACGCAGCCCGCTCCGCCCGTCTCCGCGCAGGGTGAGCGGGGCTCCACGGGGCTCCACGGGGCTCCACGGGGCTCCACGGGGGGCCACGGGGGGCCACGGGGCTCCACGGGGCTCCACGGGGGGCCACGGGGCTCCACGGGGGTCTAGAGGGGTCAGCAGGGACATCGCGTCCCGCCCTGCTGACCCCCCCAGACCGCGGGAGGGGGGGTACGATGGGGACTGGCGGGGTGGAGTTGAGGGCGGCACCACGAGCGGCGTGGAGCCGCTCGTGAACTATGCACGTGTTTGTGTACACGTGTGTATGTACACGTGTGTGTACACGTGTTTGTGTGTACACGTGTGCATGTACACGTGTGTGTACACGTGTTTGTGTGTACACGTGTTTGTGTGTACACGTGTTTGTATATGTTTGTGTAGGTATGTGTACATGTTTTTGTGTAGGTGTGTGTACACGTGTGTGATTGTGTACACCTGTGTGTGCGTAGTGTGAGCATGAGTATGGTTGCGTGTGTATATAGGTGTGCGTGTGTGTGTGCGTGCGTGATTGTGCACGCTGCACGCGACGAACCACAGCACACGAACACACTCCGCTCCCCAAACGCACCCTTCCCTGGAAGCAAGAACAGGAGCTCGAGTCTTGGCAAGCGGAACATCGCGGTGCGTGTGGGGGGGGGGGGTGCTTGTGTGGGACGGCGATCAGTGCGCGGTTCGTGTGTGGGGGGAGCGGTACATGCGTGTGGGGGAGGTGCGTGTGTCTGGGTGGGGGGGAAGTGCGTGTGTGTGGGGGGGGAGTGTGTGGGGGGGAGTGTGTGGGGGGGGGGAGTGTGTGGGTGGGGGGGGGAGTGTGTGGGTGGGGGGGAGTGGGTGGGTGGTAGGGGGGAGTGTGTGTGGGGGGGGGAGTGTGTGGGTGTGGGGGGAGTGTGTGGGTGGGGGGGAGTGTGTGGGTGGTAGGGGGAGTGTGTGGGGGGGGGGGGGAGTGTGTGGGTGGGGGGGAGTGTGTGGGTGTTAGTGGTGGTGAGTAGGGGTTGGGTGTTGATGGGAGTGTTGGTGGGGGTGGGTGTGGAGGGTGAGTGGGGGGTGAGTGGGGGGTGAGTGGGGGTGAGTGTTGGGGAAGGTGAGTGGGGGTGAGTTGAGGGTGAGTGGAGGGGCTTGAAACGCCCCGGGGAGGGGGAGGGGAGGAGGGTGCAATCATCGCGGGGTTCGGACCCCAAACCGTGGATCCGGAGCCTCGCCGCCTGCTCCCCCTCACGGCCCCTCCTCCTCCATCACCTGGTGAGTCTGCGCGCTGCCGATGAGACACCCAACACCGCGTCGGGGACTCCACCTCAACAAGTCCGCGCCGATGTCGCCTCGGCGGAGCGCAGCCTGCGGCGTTAGTGGGTGGTGATGGTGGGTGGTGGGGGTGGGTGGTGGTGGTGGTGGTGGTGGTGGGTGGTGGTGGGTGGTGAGGGTGGGTGGTGGTGGTTGGTGGGGGTGGGTGGGTGGTGGGTGGTGGAGTGGAACGCAGCGCCCCGGGGAGAGGGCAAGTCGCGAGTGGCGAGAGACCCGCGACTCACATCCCTGCGGTGGGCAACACTCGCGCAATGTGTTGGCACGTTCGTGCCCGCACACACCCCCCACTTTAAACAGAGCGTGGAGCCGCGTGGAGCCGCAGACGTGGGCCAGGTGACGCCCGCGGAGAAGCTGCTGAGGTCACTATCGGACGCTTCCGAAACCGCGGTCACGCGTGGAGGGGTTCCCGGCTTCCAGGGTGCTAGAGCCTCCACTGCACAGAGGGTTGGGATAGAGGGCGGCAGGAGGACACACCGGATTCCATGAATCGACTTCAACAGAGACCCATATAGTTATAGAGACCCATTGACTCAGAGACCCGTAGGCTCACAAAGAGACAGACTAACAGAGATCCATAGACTTACACAAAGCCTCTAGACTTACACAGAACCGATAGACTTAACAATACGGTACTATAATAATGAAAAAAACACAATTACCGTATAAAGTTACAGGAATCTAAGATCGCGATAATTTTCAAATCGTAAATATCGATACTGTATCTCGAAGTCGACTGGTAGGTGACGCGTGGTGGGGTAAAGCGTGGGTCACGGCATGCAAGACGTCTGACCAGCGTAGGACAAGAGTAGGACAAACGCCTTGCACAGGGGCTCTCTGCTGCGCCCGCAGTGGCGCGATAAAGCAATTGCAGAGCTGCGCCTTTACCCGAGACAGGGCACGAGGTGCGTTGGACGCCCGGCTGTGAGGACGCCACGGTGGCTGGGAGATGTTCATTGCCTCGCCTGGTCGACAGGAGGTCGTGAGCTCAATCCCGATCATGACGCCTGCTGTTGTGTATTTGGAGTTTTCATGTCTCTCTCTCTCCCCGTGGTCGCGTGGTTTTTTCTCCGGGTCCTCTGGGTTTTTCCCTCCACGTTTAGAAGCACGCGTTTAGAGTGTTTGGTTTCTGTATATTTCCACGCGATAAGCCACTTCGTTGAGCTATCGTTTGTGATAGTCAGGTCACTTAATAAAAATAGCTAACTAGCTCAGTGGGCCTTTCCTGCTAGAATAAAAGAGAAAAAAAGACGCAGAGAGAGAGACGCAGCGAGAAAAATACGCAGAGAGAGAGAGACGCGCCGTTCCTAGAGAGAGCGGCTTCCTAGAAGGCGCAGAGGATGGCGTCATCTTCGCTCCCCACGCCAAGCGAGGCCCTGCCACTGGGGGGCTACGAAAGCGGGAGGGGGGTTGGGTAAGGGGCAGGGAGGCGGATGGGAGTGCGGTCGCTGTGGGAATAATACGAAGGGATCCTGAGTCAGCTCGGCATGGAAGTGTAGATGCACGTCGTCGTCATCATCATGCGTTATTTATACCACCACAGCAGAGGAGGTATTTGGGATAATTAGGAAGGAAGTGGGTGCAGAACAAAAAGACATTACAACACAGACACCGTGGTAGACGCGGTGATGGGCTGCACGTGACTGGCCACAGTGGGTGCTCGACTGGATGCGGTGTGCTGAGTGCGGAGATATCTTCCAGGTCGCTGACCTGGACAGACCCGGCTGAGATGAAGCCCTGGACGGAGGTGTGGGCCGGGGGGTGGAGGGGTGGGAGGTGTGGGCCGGGGGGTAGAGGGGTGGGAGGGCGAGACGCCGTGATTTGAGGGCGGCGACACAACAGGAATCTGCTCGGAGCGGAGGGGTTCTCCCCATGGGGGTTGCGGGGGCGGGCGGACGGGTAATGGGGGCGGTGGCGGGTAATGAGGCTTTGGTGGTGCTAGCGGTGGTGGTGGTTGCACGGTGACTGCTAATGGTGGTGGTGGCTACAGAGTGGTGCTGGTGGTGGTAGAAGTGAGTGTGGTGGTGCTGCTGGTGGTGGTGCTACTGGTGGTGGTGCTTCTGGTGGTGGTGCTGGTCACTGTTGTTGAGCCGTCTTCCCACATTCTCTGCCTCGCTTCGTCGCACGGTTGGAGCCCCGGGCTCGTCACGATGGCAGTGTTTATTTTGACCCACTTGTCACAGCAATTGCCAAACGCAGGCAAAATTAAAAGGAGCGCCACACAAATTGGTAGTAGGTTTCGTGATTTGGCGTCGCGGCCATCTATTGTAGTTGCCGGTCAACTGAAATTGGTGACCGGTGCTCGTCTCCATCACAGCGGGCTGCCACTGAACGCTGATTTTATTCAAACTCACTTGCTTGCTTCGCCAATCAAAACGCGCGTGCACACGCGTGGCCGTGTCACGGCGCACATTTCAGATGCATCCACAAAGTTGTGAAATAGCTGCAGTCCACCTGCAGAGAGGGCACTTCCCTTGACGGTCAGCTGGCTCAATAGGGGGCACTGGGCGAGTCGAGGCGGCAGCTCCCGCAGCCCAACCCCCCCCTCTCCCCCTTGAGGGAGGAGGAGGCGGCCTGGGCTCGCGATCCCTTTGGGCAGGGGCTCGCACACCCGACAGAGCATCTCGTGGGGGCCAAAGAGCTGTCACACAAAGTCACTATTGTTTGGGAAACTAAATTGAATATTAAAAATATTTTTCAATCTTTGATATTAAATTAAATGTACGTAAAAGACGTATCCCTTTGAATCACAATTTCATATTCATGAAAAATCTCACAAATGATCCGTGGCTTACAACGGCCTTTTCAACATATTTCGGGTGAGGAGGCGGGGTAGCTGCTCCTTCCACCGTCCCCCAGTGTGCGCCCCCATGCGCCCTGCCACTTGCTCACTCGCACAGCTCCTCCTGAAGCCCGCTACTGCTGCCAGCGTGACTGTGGCCCGTGTCTCCCGTGTCGCCTTGGGTCTGCCGTGACTCCCGAAGTCTCCGCTGCTGGTGGCTGATCGTTGTTCGCCGCCTTTAGCTGCTGCCTTGTGTCCCGCGTGCAGTGAGGCCGCCCGTAAACCTGCGCTTCAAGGTGCTGTCGGGCAGCAGCGTGCGGGTGCTGTGGCGCTCGCCGCGTGGCGCCATCCTGGGCTACAGGCTCCACGTGCTGCCCACCAACGGTGCGATCGCGCATGCGCACGAGCGGGGTGTTCACAGCTTTCGGAATAGTCAGGAATCCCATGGAAGTGACATCATTCTCACGACGGCGCATCTTCGATTTGCCGGAATAATTTGCCAATTAACACGTCCCTACTCCCTGCACAAAGACACAGATGCCCCCGTATAGGCTACACAGACTGGGAGGGCAAATGCTGTGAGTGTGTAGCACACGTGCAGCAATCTCACGAGCTGTGCGGCCGCGCCGCAGGACTGGCAGTGCCCTGCACGACTGCCGCACACACTCCAGTTAATCCGCACTCCGATCCCCAAATCGCTCACCTCCCAGCCCGTGTGCCCACACGTTTAGCAAACTCTGGCCAGCTCTGGTGCTAACGGGGACAAACACGTTCAGGTGGAGGTAGAAGGAGGAGGTGTGCCCCTGCCCCTGCCGAACTCATCTACAGCGTTCCCCATCTGTATGCGAGGCAACGTTGTGGTTTATTGAACCGGTTACTGAGCACAAGGCCCAAAGGCCACCGTCATATCAGGCCGCCCACCACTTGGAAAAAGGGCCGTCAGCAATATTTATTTGTCTCAGCCGCACTCATCGGGTGCTAGAAGGGGACATGTTTGCGCTGGTAATTCCGTGCTCGGTCACGCGTTCAAGCCGTTTGAACGCACAGGCGATACCCACGGCCCTCGTGTGATCAGAGCGTCGGCTCACGATGGAGCTCGCCAGCGCTCTCTGTGAAAGCTTCACTTAAACTGAACTATTAATGTTATTTTACCAGGTAAATCCCACTGAGCTATGTAGCTCTTTTTCACAAATGACTTGGCCACAAATGATAGCTCAACAAAGTGGCTCATCAGGTGGATATGTATAGCAGCAACATACTCTAAACTCGTGATGGCGATTCTAAATGTGGAGGGAAAAACCAAAGGACCCGGAGAAAAATCCACGCGACCACAGAGAGAGAGAGAGACATGCAAACTCCACATATATAAGCGTCAGGGTCGGGTTCATACCCACGACTTCCTGCAGACCGGGCGAGGGAGTTAACATCTCGCCACCGTGTCGCCCCACGTGGGGGTCTCTGCCCGGTCCGTGTCCGCCGGCCGCTTTGCAGACGAGGCCGTGCGAGAGATCTCGCTCTCACGTGACGCCACGTACGCCGTCATCGAGGACCTGGTGCCCAGGACCAAGTACGTCGTGACCATGGTGGCGTATGACGCGTCGGGGGAGAGCCCGCCCGTCACGGGAGAGATCACACGTGAGTGTCCGCACACGCCAGGGTCATGGGGCGTGGGGGGGGGGGCACGGGGGGAGAGGGTGAGACAGACTTGACATCCTCCGCCTTCCAGGGATGTCTCTCTTGGCGATCTCTGAGCACCTTAACTTCACTCCACGTGTGAGAACATGTGGTGTGACGCGGAACGCCTGGCAAATGGCGAATCGGCCATCACAATACCACTGCAAGGGATAATTGGGCAATTCCTTCTGACAACGTCAATCTGATTAGCGGCCACAACTAACGTCAGCGCTGAGCGACATTCGAACTAGTTGAGTTCATCTGCACCATCCTGCACGGACCAGCATGGTGAAGTATGCTCAAACAACCTCCACGCCCGACACAGTGAAGGGACCCCTTCATCTAGCAGTAGATTGAGAAGGGCTGTTATACCAATAACAAACATTCCTCCGTTTGATGCCAATGAGCTCCCCGTTGCACCCATCGTCTTCTCCAGCCCTCCGCGACTTGTTGAACCTACACCACTTCCCATGCTCGCAGTGGTGCCATTGTGCAATTCACTTCTCTGCTCTGGGTTAAAACAAATCGTGCACTCCGCTGTTTTTTGCTCCAGGGTGCCTCCCTCACAGGCCCAAAAGCGTTCGTTCTCTCTATCTCTGAATCTTGGGTAATTTTTGACTGGGAAGCTGGTTTCCTGTGATTCGTGTATATATATGTAGTTGAGGAGACAGCCAAGTTATATCGTAGGGATTATTCTCCTATTTAAGGCAGAATTTGTTCAGTCGGAAATTAAAACAACTATGATAGATGCGATGTTCAAATAGGAAAATAAGCTTCGAAACGGGAGCTGAGGCTCTGGAAACTGTGCCTTAAAATACAAACACAAATTCCGAGGAGGATTCTTGAACGACGGCCATCCTCCTCTTCCATTGGAACGGCACAACAACACAAAAAATCCCCCAAAAAGTGAACGCAGCCAAGGCCAGAGAGCCTGGGCAGCGGAAACAGGGAGAGTGCAGAGTTATGCTGGGGGGGTGCGTAGTAGCCCTCGGTAGCCCCCAGTAGCCCTTAGTAGCCTCCTGGTAGGCCCCTTGTAGCCCTCGGTAGCCCCTAGTAGCCCCCTGGTAGCTTTTGGTAGCCCCAGTAGCCCCCTAGTGGGCCCCTGGTAGCTTCTGGTAGCCCCAGTAACCCCTAATAGCTCCCTGATCGATTCTAGTAGCCCCAGTAGCCCCTAATGGGCTCCTGGTAGCTTCTGGTAGCCCCCACTAACCCCTAGTAGGCCCCTGGTAGCTTCTGGTAGCCCCCAGTAGCACCTAGTAGGCCCCTGGTAGCTTCTGGTAGCCCCCACTAACCCCTAGTAGGCCCCTGGTAGCTTCTGGTAGCCCCCACTAACCCCTAGTAGGCCCCTGGTAGCTTCTGGTAGCCCCAGTAGCACCTAGTAGGCTCCTGGTAGCTTCTGGTAGCCCCCACTAACCCCTAGTAGGCCCCTGGTAGCTTCTGGTAGCCCCCAGTAGCACCTAGTAGGCCCCTGGTAGCTTCTGGTAGCCCCCACTAACCCCTAGTAGGCCCCTGGTAGCTTCTGGTAGCCCCCAGTAGCCTATGGTAGCTTCTGGTAGCCCCCACTAACCCCTAGTAGGCCCCTGGTAGCTTCTGGTAGCCCCCACTAACCCCTAGTGGGCCCCTGGTAGCTTCTGGTAGCCCCAGTAGCACCTAGTAGGCTGTGGGTCTCCTGGTGCATGGCGTGTATTGCTCCAGAGCTGCTGCGAGACCTTGCATTGTGCCCTGCTGGAATGACCTGCAACCCCACTCGCCCTGCAAATCCATGTCCACGGGTGGTTGATTAATGCCGTTCGCTATCATTCAGAACATCGGCACCCCTTTGTCAGTCCACCGGTGGATGAAGGCCTCCGCACATCACATTCGTCACGTGGGTTGTTTGTGACCAAACCTCACCGTGCCAGTCAGTGGCGGGTCGGTGACGGGAGAGTCTCGGGACCGGTTCGGATATCGCCACTGACGTGCAGGTGGCCAGGATCACAGCCCCAGAGCACGAGCCGCCACGCCAATGTTCCACGGCCGTCAGGTCACACGGCGCGCGGCTCGCGATGTGTTCATGGCTGTCATTTTGGAAGAGCTTTCCAACCAATTATCGTATTAACGTTAGGAATTTCGCAAAAGTGGTTTACGGTGTCACCTGAAATTATGCCGGCCATCCTGTGAATTAAGTAATTGTGCTAATTATGCTGGCAATTTAAAGTAATCCCGAGACAAAATAATTACTAACGGAGTTTCCCTTGTGGTTGGAAAAAATCCGACTCACAGCGAAGCGCACAAATGATTTGCTTCTAACATGAAGTGCAATGTTAAACAGGAACAGAGCAACCCAGCCATTTAGATTTGCAGTTGAGGAAGATTCCTGAGTAGCATCTGAAACAGCGCACAGTGTAAGTGGCATTGGCCAAGAATCCCGAGGCTGAAAGATTAGCCGCACTTTACTCAATTGGGAGTAAAGACACCGCAGCAGAAACATCGTTACTTCTACTGCGAAAACTGGACAGGACCCTCCTGAGGAAGAGTCTTGAGACTCGGTGAGGATTATTACGGGTAAACAAGCTGAATAAAAATTGGAACAAAAATGTATCTAATTATTCAGAGAGAAAAAAAAACATGGAGAGGAGCATGAATGGAGAATATGAGCTGGTAATGAAGGAGTCACTTGGTAAAGCCAAGCACACACAACCTGCCCCTGAGACTCACATCTCTGATGGGCCTCGTACAGCCACAGAGATCACGTAGACGTGCTGACACGTGCTGACACGTGCTGACACGTGTCGACATGACCTGACACCTGACACCTGCTGACACCTGCTGACACGTGGTGACACGAGCTGACACCTGCTGACACGTGGTGACACGTGGTGACACGTGTTGACACGCGCTGACATGTAGTGACACGTGGTGACACGTGCTGACACGTGCTGACACGTGTCGACATGACCTGACACAAGCTGACACGTGGTGACACCTGCTGACACGTGGTGACACGAGCTGACACCTGCTGACACGTGGTGACACGTGGTGACACGTGTTGACACGCGCTGACATGTAGTGACACGTGGTGACATGTAGTGACACGTGGTGACACGTGGTGACACGCGCTGACACGTAGTGACACGTGCTGACACGTGGTGACGTGTGGTGACACGTGCTGACACGTGGTGACACGTGGTGACATGAGCTGACACGTGGTGACACGTGCTGGCACGTGCTGACACGTGGTGATACGTGGTGACACGTAGTGACACGTGGTGACACGTGCTGACACGAGCTGACACGTGCTGACGCGTGGCGACGTGTGCTCCATGATCGCAGTGGAGATGGTGCGCCCGGGAGGACCCCGAGGAGGTACGGACACAGGCGCCTCGCCAGAAGAGACGTCCGTCTCACAGGGTGAGTCACTCGGCTGCTGCTGCTGCTGCTCGCCTCCACCTGCAGCCGTCGCGACTAGGCACAAACTAAAATTGGACTCAAGCATCGTGGCGCACTCCTCCTGCACATAACTCGTAACGCTGCGGCACTTTTGTCATGCCCAGCGGCGCTGTAATACCGGACAGACTGACTGGCCTCCCCGGCGAGCGGCAGATGGCAGTGCGGCAAGATCCATTGTTGTACCGGACTTCTATGCTCCCGCGCCTACGGCTCCGCGACTTCACCAACCCCGCACGGATCGGGGCGCGTTGAAGTACAGGTCCGATAAGCCGCTGCATCCAGCAGTGGATCGAACCGGGGGCCCCCCTGTGTGTAGCCCTAACATACTGTTGGGGCGAGTGTCGCTAGCGAGCAGCACATATGAAGGCCGGCACGGCACACCAGGGGTGCGAGGGCAGCACCACGCCTGGCCGCCTTTGTCTCCCCAGTGGTGATGCTTACACATCCCACCAGGTACTCATTTGAGTCGATCTAGGGGAGGCTCAGCACCGGTTCAGATAATCACCACAGGCATTGCAATCGACTCGCACATCCGATTAGCACGGTTGGCTATGTACGGCGCGAAAGAAGTGATACATACGCTGTCCACACAAGTGTACACATGCATGTGTGTAACATGCAAAGACACCGGCTCTCACATACATCGCGTGTGCATGGTCACACACCGGCGCGCATCATTGGTTCGCAGAGGACTGTAAGTGTAAAAAGCCCGCGGTGTTATACACATGCATGCGAACACGCATCTGCACGCACGGGCACCCAATGCGATGCGACATGAAGCCCTCTCGCTATGATTGGAATAGGAACCCGTGCACAGTTATCTATCACAGCGACACTGCCGCGGTCAGTTGGCCACAATTTGCTCAAATTAGCGTGGCGTCCTCAGACAAGAGGACCAAGAATGCCGCGCGGCCTCACCTGCCGATGGCTTGGCGTGGTTCCTCAAAGCCCCGCGCTCCGGCGTGTTGTTCGTGATGACGGCGCGTTCACGATCTCAGCGCGCGGAACGCGACGCCGGGAGCAGAGGAACGGCGCGCACCGTGGCCACGGCTCTTCGACTCACCGGGACAACAAAAAAAGTCGTGCATTCGCATGGATTCCGTGACGCTCGGCACGACTTGCGCGGGGCCTCGGAAGTGTTTCACTACAACGGTGTGGGCCTCTGGCGCCTCGTTGGGCTCACGTCTGTGATGGCCAGGTCGCTTCTGAAACAGAAGTCAACAGCTCAGAGCGCTTTGCCTGGTAGGATGGGAATGGTTTAGTTGAGTGTGTGTGTGTGAGTATACTCACCACTGCTAGCGTATTTGTGGGCTGTCTGTCGTCGTAAGGTTCTTACCCGCCCATACTGGACATCTTTTGAACTGAGCTTTGTAACTCATCGGATTCCTCGTGCAGCATGAATGAGCGTTCTCATTCTGGCTGCCCTGGACGGCTCTGCAGGTGATTCTCCGCGGCCGGGTTAATTCTCGTGGGCAAGGTCCCCCAGCAGCAACACGACTCGACACGGGAGGTCGGTTCGCGTTGGACGTCGTCGTGATGAGAGCCACCGTGACCCGCCCCCCCTCCTCCGCCTCACGTTTCGATGGTTCGGGTGCACGGATGAACAGACAGAGAGAGAGAGCTCACACGTGCACACGTTCACTCTCAGTTGCAACGCGTTACAGTGAGGACCGTTGTCGTATTAAATAGGCGCCATTAATTTGTAAACGCGGCGGCACTTGGTCTAAAATAGTTTAATTATTTAATTCAACCTCTGCCTCTCATTCCGTTCCACTACTCAGCCAGAGATTTAGTTTAGTTCACCGAGGCCGCCGCTGCTGCTGCTGTTGATTACACAGCATCGGTGCTCTGCTGTGTCCAGCACAGGCGCAGTGAGACCCGGCGGGGCGTTTCTAACGAAGCGGTCGACACTCTCTGCCGACTCGCGCCTGCTGCTCTCTGCTTGATTGTCGAGGCAGCGCTGTGCGGAGCGGTGGTGCAGCGGTTAGCGCGCTGCGCTGCGAACCCGGCGACCCGGGTTCGATTCCCTCTCACACGGCGAACACCGGTGACGATTTATCTGAACCGGTCGTGGGCCTCTCATAGGTCGACTCGGCCTCAAATGAGTTCGTCGTGCGGTGTGTAAAAACATCGTCACTTGGGACACAAAGGTCGTGGCGCTGGCCACCCACCCCCTCGTGTGCCGTGCCGGCCTCCATGGGTGCTCGCTAACAGCACTTGCCCCTACAGTCTGTTCAGGCTATGGGGGGTGGGGTGATCTTTGTCTTTGTGGGCGTAGTAGAGGAGGGAGACTTGCATCGGCCGTGGGTAGGCGAGGTGCGAGGGAGCTGCCCAGGCGAACGAGACGACGGCTCTCGTAGCGGAAGTGATCAGAACCACCACCACCACCATCAGAATCGTGATTTGCAGCGGAGGCATCCGACGAGCCACAAAGATATTTCTTTTAGCAGTCGTCATCGCAAGTGTGCCGGCGTGCACTCGGGATCAGGGGCAGCAAGCGAGCGCAGTCAACCCCCCCCCCCCCGCCCTGTATTATGGATGATATTGGTCGCGAAAGTCTGCGTGTTAAACTGGCGTTAGCCTGCATCCGCGTGAACATCCCACCAAGCCCGCAGACACTCCGAGTCATGGAAACACAGAGCCCTGCTCGCCCCGAGCCCTCATTACCTCGTCGCTGGCACGAGGAGCCGAGTTGATCGGCGCGCGCGCGAGCGTCTGAACGCGCGTGCGCGTCCTCTTCGTGGGTTTAATGCCGACACGAGGCTGTGTCCGCTCCGTGCGGGTTACCTGGCCGCGAGTTTAGTCGTTCCTCGCTTAACGCGGTGGTGGTGGTCGTCGTAGATTGCGTTCCTGAAAAGTTCCGCGTTACGCGAAAAACGCGTTCCTCGAAAACAGCTTCCCCCGTAAATGATGTAATGACGAGAACTTTGGGCGAGATACGTAAATGATGTGATGACGATGAGCGCACACGCAGTCGAGATTGCGGCAACAATGAACTGAGGGTACACTGCCACGTTACCCGATCATTCCGCGTACTGTATCACTGTACCGCGTAGCTCAAGAAAGTACCCTAGTGCGTTGTCGACTGTTCAGAAACCGCGTTACAACGGTGTGTGTATCGCGTTACAACGGTGTGTGTATCACGTTACAACGGTGTGTGTATCACGTTATAACGGTGTGTGTATCACGTTACAACGGTGTGTGTATCGCGTTACAACGGTGTGTGTATCACGTTACAACGGTGTGTGTATCACGTTATAACGGTGTGTGTACCGCGTTATAACGGTGTGTGTATCACGTTATAACGGTGTGTGTATCACGTTATAACGGTGTGTGTATCGCGTTACAACGGTGTGTGTATCACGTTACAACGGTGTGTGTATCACGTTATAACGGTGTGTGTACCGCGTTATAACGGTGTGTGTATCACGTTATAACGGTGTGTGTATCACGTTATAACGGTGTGTGTATCACGTTACAACGGTGTGTGTATCACGTTATAACGGTGTGTGTATCACGTTATAACGGTGTGTGTACCGCGTTATAACGGTGTGTGAGCCGCGTTGGAATGGTGCCGGGCTCCGTGGTATAACGGTGCGCGTTTCCGCGTAATAACGGACGCGTTGTGCGAAACGTGTTCCCGAATAGAAGAACCGCGTCGCAGCGAAAGCGCATTGTGCGAACAGCGCGCGTTCAACAAGGACTGACCGTACTTCCCCCCGCGTGTCAGTGCAGGGCGGTGAGGGCGGGCAGTGTAGACCGCCTGCTTGTGCGCGGTGGTCGCCCACGCAACCACCATGCAGGTTCAAACCTGCTGAGCTTGCGAGGTCTTAACGAGATCGGGCGCAATCGGGGTGATGTGGCCATGTGTTGAGCATCTGCAGATATCCGTTAAAATCGTAGAGGCATTTTTTTTCGTGTCTATAATTACAGGGAGACACATACAGCAGCAAGATATTGATCAAAGCACAGTAAATGTATTTTGTTTATAATTAACCCCGTGTATGATTTGACTTGAGCACACCGCTTGACTTGTAGCTCCGCGCATAAGCGACGCTGAACGAGACGGTCGGTGCGTCCCCCCAAGTGAACGTGTTGACGGCAAGGACCCGCGGGTGACCTGCAGACGATTGTCGGATCTCATCCCTTACTGACATTTTCAAACGTGAAAACCCTCACTCCGCCACGTCAGCTAAATGGAACCTTGCACTTGGATGTGAGGGCGGCGAATCACGGCGCCGTCTCGCCGCCCGGGTGAAGAGCAGTGACGTGCGGTGAGGTCAATGGCTGGGGAGGCACTGGCTCGTGTCAGAGCCAGAATCACACTGAGGGGGGCGTGTCCTCACTGAGGGGGCGTGGCCTCACTGAGGGGGGCGTGGCCTCACTGAGGGGGGCGTGTTAGACACGTCCCCCTCAGTGAGGCAGATGTGATAGCTGCCTCCCCTGGTGCTTTTTCATTGCAGTTTCATGACGAGACCGGCGAGCCTAAATATCTTTATACACATACGTGAAATAAGTTACCTGGAGTGTGGAAGGCGAGGACATGAAATTAAGGGGTCTACAAACATTGCATTGGTGACATACTGAGATAGTGACAGGCACGCGCTTATTGCCCGCGCTCCATCCAGTTACTGAGGGGTTGCGCAATCAGAGGGGAGGCTGAGCTCGTCGTTGCCTCCCCTTTCGTCTCTTCCGCAAATTTGGCGATTTTGACTATAAAAATGATTGTAATCGTACAGAAATGACATAACACAGATCAGTGGAAAAATCTTAATATTTATTTTATTTGATTATTCATTTATTTTAACTTTTCGTGACAGCTATTTTGATTGGAGTATGACAGGCGAGGCTCTGCCTCCCCTGCCTCCCCTGCCTCCCCTGCCTCCCCTGACCGCACGTCCCTGGTGAAGAGCACTGCCCAGACAACGAGGGCGAGCGTCCTTCTCCAGAGCTCACGTTGG